AGTTTGTGAATTTTTGTGACAGTAAGCCAGTCATTATTATGCATGGGGGACTCTGGTAGAAATGCAATATTTTGTACTAATTGCTAACAGAAAGATCTGTAATATTGGCTGCATGATTTGCCCCTTACAAGTGCCCAGCTATAACGATCTGAATTTAGTACTGCATTTGTTAATATTAGACACAAATTTATTCTGACACTTTTATAGGCAAAGCCTTGGAAACATTTAGTCATGTAAAATATAATGATAGTCTTGAAATATTTGCTTTTGCTCTCATGCATTTTAGGTAGGATCTCACTTTATAATCTTATCTKTATTGCTGAATTAGGAAAATTGTTTGGTGAGGTTATTTGGGGTCCTGATTATGAGACAGGTGTTAATTTACACTGCACCCTTATCAAAGAGCAATTGTTTACAGAATGTGAATATTCCTCATCTCTGTACACTCTTCAGATCTTCCCATCATAGTGAGTTAAATTCATTTTTAAATTGCATCCCATTTCCAGTGTCTATTGGCAGACACTTCAGAGTTTTGAGGGCAAAGAAAAGTAGCTCATGGTATAAGTGAAATATTTTGTGTCAGAAAAAAAGACAGCAAAGGGCACAATTCCTGGTGTGTTTACCTTATAACTGAGTGTACTAGACTTGTACAGAAGCTTTGAAAAAAATCTCCATGGCTATAATTTTCATAAGTCTTTCTGACCCATTGAGACAGATGTTAGTATATTACTTGGAGCATACTATAAAACTTACCTTTCACTTATGGAAATGTGCTTGTAACTTTGTTCTCCCAAAAGCAAACACAAAGACCGTAAGACATGGGATAATAATAGACCTTTGTAYACAGAAACATAAAATGGAATGTATGAGTCCTTGAAAGAGCAATTAAATACATTTTCATTTTAGCAACTGAAGATGAGGAACTAAAGCAGATGGGCAGRGGSTAGAATAAATGAGAGAAAAATCAGTATTCATCATGCCTCTTGGCATTCTAGCTCAGCAATTTACTCTGTAGTAGATCACAGTAAATCAGATCTAGTTTTCCATTCCAGCTCCTGGTTTATTCTTATGTCAAATAAAAACTAAGCAAACTGTGGGTACTTTCCCTGGCAATTTCTAGAATCATACAATAAGGAGCCTCTAGCTATATTATTATCAACAAGCCAACTCAATTCCTTTTTGGAAATAGATGAGTAATACATTATAAATAAATTACAGAAAGGACTACCACAGGATTCCTGAAGAACATTCTACCCTAAAAAGCATGGTGAGATATCATATTATCAAATACCCTTTGGGATCTTGAAGCTGAAAAGAGCAAATTACTTGCTTCTATCCTGGGATTATCTTCCAAAAATACAGCCTCACTAGAAATAAGTAGAATTTGTTTGGGCTCCATGGAAAGGGAAACTTCATGTTTTCCATAATTCTTAATAATATTAAGAATTGCTACAAATGCTTGCTTTTAACTTGTGAATTGCAAAGTCAAAGTCTTTCATTTGAATCCATACTCTGAATTATAGCAGCAAAACTTAGGAATGTATATTAGTTATTGCTGCCAATCTGAAATGTACAATGCCAACTATATACAGCGTAGCCTCAYGATTCTATAGGTTGGCAATTTGGGCTGGGGTCAGTAAGACAGGACTTTTGTTGCCATGCCTGGAGGTATCTGGAATGACCCCAACCACAGGGTGGGGACTCAGCTGGTGGCAAGTTGGGCATGCCCCTCTCTGTCTCATGTTATATCCTTGCTCTTGCCCAGGGTTGTCCTCAAAGTAACCAGGTTCCAAGAATATGAAAGCAAAAATCACTAACACCTTGAGACTGAGGCTTAGAAGGTACATGTATTCCTCTGTCTATTCTGTGKATCAGAGTATGTGGCAAAGCCAAAGAAGATTGGAGGAAAGAGAAGTAAACTTACCTTTTAAAAGAAGCTGCAGCAAAGATGTAATCATTTATAACCTGCTACAGAAATCAGAATCACCTTGATCTTGTCAGTAACCTAGATGTGGTCTTTCTTGCCTGGTGGTACTTTAGACCTATCTTCTTCTCTTCTGTTGCTCTAAGTAAGTGTCTCTTCACTGGRTCATTATTGCATGATGGAGCCCAGTACAGCCATCACAACAGTCATCCCTGATTTCAGGTGGTCTCTGTCCTCAAATCATAACACAGTTTTTTTTCTGTGATTATTCTTTTTATCCTGTTCCTCTGTTCTTTGCAATCTGTGTGGTTCACCATTTCCTATCAAACATGTCACCCTCACATTCAGAAGTCTTCTATGTGACCAGTATCCTTCCCCTCTCTCACTTGAACATTCTGTCCCCAGTCTCACCTTCTCAGGAACTTGTTTACATGCCATCCTTAGCCATTCTTAGACCAAAATATTTTCTTGATYTTCATTCACAAAGATATTATTAATATACAAGTATTTATAGAATTTACTTTGTTGAAGACACTTTCTAGGCACAGTGAACAAGGTGTTTAAGGTCTATTCTTAAGTAAGAGAGAAACAATATATACATATGCAAACAACATACTAAAACAGCCAGTGCAAGCAGAAGGTCTAAGATAATAAAACAGGGAATTCAGGGGTGACAGGTGAGCAATTGAAGTAAAGGTAACTTTAAAGTCATCAGGACCTTCCCCTTTGTGCAAGTAACACCTGAATATTTGACCTGCACACCCAAAAGCCAAGTGGATGAAGATGAAGTACCCTAGGTAAAGGATAACACAAGTAAAATGACCTCGACCATATCCTTACCCACTTTAGCACTGAGCATTCTTACCACTTACCATCTGGAAGGCAGGGGAAGAACCCAGGATCTATGTTTTTATAAATCCCCATGTGATGCTAATGTGCAGGCAAAGCTGAGAACCACTGATTTCCAGCAGAGCTTTTAAGACTTTCCTATCACATGGAATCTTTCTCAAATGCAGCCTGTGGTTTGCAAGATCTGGGGTAGAGCCCAAGACAGTGCATTTCTAATGAGCTCTCAGGCAGTGCCAAAACTGCTTGTCTGTTAGCTCCTCACAGCATGGTGCACAGACCAGCTGTATAGATGTCCAGGAACTTGTTAGGATACAYATGCTCAGCCTAAGAATCAGATACCAGGGAATACTATCACCTCCTGAATCAGAAACCTGGGGCATGACTAAGTCTCCTGGATTTCAGAAAATCCTTTGGGTAACTAAGGCCTACTGAAGTTCTGGAGAACCAGAACATGGATCTAGGTGTTTAAGCATGATCAATTTGGCACTTAATTATATCCTGTGTTGTGTTTCTATAATCATGTCTTGTAGGTAACTCTGTTGACACTTACACTGACCAAGAGGGTGAAGCCATAATGTTYTCTTCCTTTTATTTAGTTTCCACAATGCACAAATTCCTTCATTCTGGTTAGGAGGATGAGACAGACATAGRTACTGGGAATGAAATTGACCAAATTATGTTGTTATATTGTGTACATGTACACAAATATGTTAACAATGAATCCCACTATTATGTATACTTATAGTTCACCTAAAAAAAAAAAAATAGAAGAGACACAGCTCCATTTCCAGCCTTCTTTTGCTGCCTCCAAAGCTCTTGTTCACTCAGCTTCTCAAGTATTGGAGCTTGCAGAGCCCCTGCAGATGACACTCCATGGTTCCAGGTGTCACCTGAAAGGAGCTGATTTTTCAGACCTCCTGCTGGGGCAGTTTAGTTCCTGTGAAGAAATGTTGTAACTCACCTCTAACTGCTGTCCTATCAAAAATCACCCTCTATACTACTTCTCTTTGTTTACAAGCTTCTGTTAATGGTTTTCTCTCCATTAAACTGCTCAGGGGAGTGCTATTTAGAGAACTAATTGAATTCTTGCCAGTTTGGGACATGATCCAGTGCTGCTCCATATCTCAGTATTTTCCGTGATAGGTATTTTCTTTTCCTCTAATGTGCGTAGTCTTGGTATCTCCATCTGCAGAATAGATGTTAGAGATTGTAACTGTATACATGAATGTATCTATTTTATCAGCATGGTAGTACCTGCTCCTTTTTTATGAAGAGACAACTCATTACTCTGCAAAGGGAAATGCATATAACTTAAAGTGCTCCCCAAATATTAATACATGTTAATTTTAGAAATTGTACTATTTGTGAGATTAATTCAATCATGAAGAGACAAAAATCCAATTTTCTCTCTACCAACTCTACAACCAAATTTGAGGAGTTCTTCTTCCTGATCACTGAAAAGATTGTAAGTACAATATTAGTACTCTTGGCTACTTAAGAGATAAAACTTTCCTGATCCATAGCCATTATTCATCTAAAGACTAGATAAGGTTAATTAATCATCAAGGTGGGGATTTGTGGGATGTACCTAACCATGGGTAAAAAGGTATTAAGGTTCACTACAGAGGAGGAGTTGGCAAACAAATAAGTAAATAAATAAATATCAAGACARGGTAAAAACAATAATTATAAAAAGAAAATTTGTTTTGTCTTGAAAAATAATACTCTTTAGTATGTAATCGGTGATAATTTTCATAATTTTCAACATGTCATACATGAAGCACGCACAGGACAACCTGCTTTAGTGTAGCACTGTACATTTGTATACATAGAAAATTTGAATATACTGCAGTATGTTTTATTTCTAAGCTACAGATTGCTCCTGTGGGGATTTTGGAGTGTTTTATATTCTGTGTCTCACCTCTCCTTTACTGCTATTGCAATATGCTTCCTTTCCCTAAAACTCTATTTGGTCCTCTTTTTGGAACCTCTATGTAGTTCATCTTCTTCTATTTCCAGTTCTGGGTGGCAGGCATATCAACTCTGTTGTCATTATTCTCATCTTTTCTCAACTGCCATCCATTCAATAGCATTAATTATCTGAGATGAGTACCACTATGTTTCACGGAATTATGCTTGGACCATAAACTATTTCATTGCTGAAATCTTTGAACATCTGGATGGCATGTTTAGCAGAAGTAAATATTCTCTGTTGTTTCCCTTCCAGTCTGTGGAGATGAATGCACAGGCCTGCTTCTCGATGACCTGGCTCGCCTGGAGCAAATGGCCATGAGCATCAACCTCACGGGCCCACTGCCTGCTCCGTATAAAATTCTCTATGGCATTGAAAATACAACTCAGGAATTAAAGGTAGGTTGGTACAGTAGCAGCAAGAACCAGGGCAAAGGTGACAGAAGCATCCCAAGTGACATTGGCCATAATTGGTAAATGCTCTTTCCACTGCCCCAAATCAAGGGGAGCAGCTGTTYGGGAAGTTCAGATTTTCTAAAGCCATCTTTTTCAAACTGGAAAACTGAAATATGCAGAGTGCCATTAAAGGAAAAAGAGTCTCATATATACCCACCCCCCCACTGTTTTTCCTAAATCAGTTTTATTATGTGACTTAAATATGTGTGAACATAAAATCAGGTATGTACTCCTTATACWTATAGCTCCATAAAATCAAAACAAATTAATTCTTACAGAAGTCTACAAAACCAATAAAATTCAAATTAAAAACATTAATCTAAAGTAATATGATTTTGGCTAAAAGTAAATTGCTACTTGCAATAAGAATATGATTCTGACTACCTCCGCATGGGTTCTTTCACCAGCAGGCAATATGTGATAGCTTGGTTGTCTTACAATTCCACATTTGAACTAGTGAGCCCCTTGCAAGGGATCCTGAATGACTTTTGGCATCATTTGACAAGTACCTGTGACTCATAGGCTCAAATTTTCCATATGATCAAACATGTAAGCAGATGTAGTCTCTGATATCAGGAGTTAATGTGTATCTTGAGTATCTCACTTGGGGTCCAGAAGAGCTTATATTAAAACCCAAGAATAAATCTTTGTTCTAGAGAACTAGTAGACCTTTGAAAGTACCTCTACAAGTTCCAGTTTGAAAACCACTATTCTGAAACATTGTTAAAGCTTTTGGTCATTGAAGGGATAGGAAGAAATGTTAAGGAAATCAGATTCATTTTTAAAAGATGAAAAGTACATAATTATATGCTATCAGTCAGTTACCAAATATTTATAAGAAATTATAGAATGCTCAGGATTGTACTTTGTTCCCTGGGGTATCTTTTGACTTTTATAATATTGTCACTAAACCTCAGGAATCTTAGATTCTATGTAGCTTTAAAAAAGTCAATAAGCAGTAATTCAGTAGCAAAAAATCATACTATGTGCTTTATCAAGATTTGAGGTACAATAGAGTACAAAGATTGAAGAAATCAGTAAGTTTCTGGATAACTAGAGAATGCACCCTTAATGAKAATTAATTTTGTTGAAAATCAAAGGGTAAATACCATTTTATTTAGTTAGCTAGTTTTTTTTGTTTTTGGAGGGTACTGGGGATTGAACTCAGRGGTACTTGGCCACTGAGCCATATCCCCAGCCATATTTTAATTTTATTTAGAGACAGGGTCTCACTGAGTTGCTTAGGGCCTCGCTCACTTTTGCTGAGGCTGGGACTGAACTCCTGATTCTCCTGCCTCAGCCTCCCAAGCTGCTGGGATTATAGGTGTGAGCCACTGTTCCTGGCTTATATACCATTTTAATTGGCAGAGAAGTATTGGTGAGGACGAGGAAGAAATCCAAACTTGATTCACTCGCCCCATATACTTATCTGGGAAATATATTTTTAATCCTGATTATAGCCACCTTATTATGCCTATTTTACTGAAAAACCACTGATAATGATAGCAAGAATAACTAAAATTTATGGAAAACTAAGCAATTAACTTACGTGAATAACCATACATAACTCATATAGAAACTCCAAGAAGTAAGAAAGAAGTTTTTATGGATTAAATATTTGTGCTCCCCACCAAGTTCATATGTTGAAGGCTTGTCTTAGACTGTTTTAGGCTGCTATAACAAAATGGTTGTAAACCACAGGGACTTATTCACAGTTCTAGAGATTGTGAGGTCCATTGCTGAGGGCCATTGCCAAGTAGGAATGACGCATCRATATTTCCTTGCCAGCGTACCCCATGTTAAATGGACTTGCCTTGGAAATTTGCTGTGACCTTGCATGTGTGTTTGAGAAAGGTGACCCTGCTCAAAGACCAGGGCGGATCCGGGTTTAGAGATGATCAGGTTTGAGGAAGTTTCCCACTCCTTGAGTTTAAGGCGTTCCCGGTTTGAGACAATACAGGTTTTAGGGAAGTTGGAGGTTGAAGATTATTGCTGCTGGGATTAGGGTGTTCCTGCTGCTTGTTTCCCTTGAGTTCTCRTGAGATTCAAATGGGCTTTGGAAAAAAAGCCTCATGGAGTAGGTGATTGGGGGTGGCGGCTTATTGGAGATTTCACCAGAACGTGTTTGGAGAGGCCGGTGTGAGTTCGGGAATAAAGAATTGCTGTTTGAATCTACAAAGCTGTGAGTGGCTCGTGATTCAGTGCCAAGCCGAGACTTTGGCAGTCCATGATAAACGTAGATTGTATATCTGATGAGGGCCCCTTCCTCATAGATGTGTGTTCTCATATGGTAGGAGAGAATAGCTAAATTTGTTAGATCTTTTTCACAAGGGCACTAATCCTAATCTTGAGTTCTGTACCCTTATGACCTTATCACTTCCMAAAGGCCCTAATTCCAAATACCATCACCTCAGAGGGTAAAATTTTGGAGAGAGACAAACAATCTCTAACAATAATAAGAAATGTCACGATATTTGGAGACAGGGTCTTAGGGAGGTAAACAGATTAGGTCATGAAGGTAAAGACCTCATTATGTATTGGTAGCCTCATATAAAGAAGAAGTACATTCTCTCCCCCACCACCTGTCTGTAGTATTTCTTTTTTATAGCAGTCTCATCTAAGATGTAAGTACTATATTATCTTTGTTTTTCAAGTAGGGAAACTGAGGCACCAGTTTTTGCATAAGGCACAAAGTTTTATAGCTATTGAGTGTAGAGCTAGAATTTAAAAAGAGGGAGTATAACTTTAAGACCTATAAGAATGACTGTCTTKGGCTGCGGAGATAGCTCAGTTGGTACAGTGCTTGCCTCGCATGCACAAGGCCCTGGATTAGATCCCCAGCACCAAAAAAACAAAAACAAACAAACAAACAAAAAAAAAAAAAAAACAAGAATGTCTATAAAACTCAGAGAGAGAAAGTAACTTGCCAGGGAGGACCCAGTGAACCAGTGGTGAGATCTCCCTAATGCACAGCCCCTGCTTGCTCTTGCCATGAAGTCATGCCATGTGAGCAGAGGGAGAGGTATGAATGAGGCATCTCTAGCAGACATTAAAAGTCAGGTCTGCTAGTGACAGATAAAGCTGAGGACTGGAGTAGGGCAAGGTGATATGAAGGACAACCTTGAAAGCAGGCAGAGGATTCTGAGTTTAACTTCATTGTCCTAATATTCAGGGATATAAAGAGTTTCCACAAAGAGAATGCCGACCAGTTATTTTCCATGTGCCTSAAGGGAATACAAAGAAAAAAAATTAAATTAGAAAAGCAAGCATTTCAGTTGGATGTAAGTATTTTTTTAAAAATCCTACTTAAGTAATGAACAATGAAGTGCTGAAGGGCACCGGGGGAAAGGTCCCAACTGTCACCAAGCTGAGGACTTCAGTTGCCTACCCTCTTACATCTAGGTGTTAATCAAAATGAGCTTGGCTTTCTTTGAATCTCAAACTCCCCTGATTCTGTGTATTCTTATTACATAATTCATTAAGTAGTTGGATCCTTAAGATCCCATTTTGATGTTTTAAACCCTAAGCAAATTCTTTAATCTCTTTCTTCAGTTCTTCACTGTGACAGTGGTCCCTAGGTCCAATCTAAAGACCACCAAGAGCACACAAATGGTAGAATAAAGCTGGGTTTATTAGCTCACTCCAGCTAGGACATGGAACACCAGGGAGAACAGTGGGCTGTCTCCATCAGAGGGTGTTAGGAAGAAGGTRTATAGTACATTGGGCTAGAGCTGGGTGGTGTGAGGGCAGGTTCCAGGAAGCAGGGGTTAGTACTCAATTGGGWGCTGTTAGCAAGAGGGAATAATTATATAATTCAATAGTCTCATGACTATCTAGGAAGCACAGAGGGAAACAAACTATGAGTGAAGAAACTGGTCCTTCATATTAGCCAGCAAATAGGATTTTATGGTATTATCTAAGCYTAGGGAAATGGTATTGTCTGTGCTTAGATAAAATTATAGAACAGTCKCATTTTTCCTTTTTATTCACCAYTATCACAGAGTGACCCTATCTAATCTTGTGAAATTGTATATTCAATGGGAGAAGAAAGTAGCCTGTGAATGCCAGGCCAGCTCTTACCTATTCTAAGCCCAGGCCAGTTAGTGCCAGGATCTCTATGCCAAGTGCTACTGTTAGCTCTTTTGTGCCTGTAAACTGTGTCTCTGCTGATTGGAACCAGGAGCGTTGTGAAGGTTCATCTTAATTCTACTTGCTATTAGCTGTGTGATCTTGCACAGATTTTTAACTCTCTGTAAGCCACATCCACAAAATGGAATAGCATTGACTTGATAGGACTCTTATAAGAATTAAGTGAAATAGCAACTACACAAAAAACAAAAACAGTTTGCACTGTAAATTCTCAATAAATTACTACTTTTTTTGTTGTTGTTGCTATTTGCCTGAGTATTTGACATAATGCTCAGTGTGTAGGGTTGTTATTTTTTATTCAAAGTGAWAAACCAAATTTTTTGTATATGTAGGAAAACTGTGTGCCATTCAACCCAATGATTACTGCAAAACCACTTACTGAAGTATGCATGGGATGAAATGTTTTTCAGCACCTGCTCTCACCCCAGCGGGCCCCTGAGAGGCTTATTCAGTTGGCAGAAGGCAATCTGAATACACTTGTGATGGAAATGAATGAGCTTCTGACCAGGGTAAGTTGGCAAAGTCTTCCTAAGTAGATAGATATAAGAAATTAATTTCCATACGAACTAAAAGAGTCCCTAATCTTGTTCTTCCCAGTTTGATGCACATCAGGACTTGCTACTTCTGCTTCAAATCAAATCTTAAAAGCCAGTAGCAGACATCCCCCTTCCCAACAACAAGAAATGATGTGATACTTAGGAAATATCAAGGAAAAAGACCAAAAATATGAGAATTACAATGTATTTTGAAAACTGTATTCAGTAACATTTATGCTAAAGTTTTTATCAATTTTAAATTTCAAAAGCATTKTCCTTGATTTGTGGAAGGAAAAACAAATGAAAATACTTGTAGTCTCTTTGATCTCCTCCTGGGATTTTCCATTTGTATAAAAGTCTCCATCAGATCAGTATTCTTACTCAAAAAAAAGAGTAATATTATTTATTGTGAAAATCCCAAACATTCAAGACACCCTTGAGAGTCAGCATACAAAGTCCATGTCGCATTTATCAGACTTTTTCAGGAATTGGTAGTTTTAAATTTTCAAAATGCAAGAGTGCTAAGGTTCTTTTTTGTTGAGGAAAATAACATAAAGCCCGCCATCTTGTGGTCAGAAAAATGCATGAACAAGAATCCAGCCTGCTCTGTAGGAATTGAGTTGATTATCCAAATTTAAGCTTTAAAATACAAAGGATACTAGAGTTAGAAGGTTTTAGAGACTATCTACTCCATTTTGTATTTTAAAGAAGAGCTGCCTCAGGCCATGATAGTGAAATGAATCAACAATGGCTATCAATTCACTACTCAAGGACCTAACCAGGAACAAGCTCCAGATTCCCATTGGCTCAGTACTTTTTTCACATAAACTGCAGCTGGATTAGGAAAATTTCCACAGGGAAATCAAATGGCTYCTGAGCACATAATGCTAAACAATGGCCCTGATGTTACAAGTAGCATACTAAACACTTTCTCTAAATCTCAAACCAGCAGTATAGAACGTACATAATTTCTTGCCAAATGTACATAGACATTAAATTAATTAATGAGYATATGAATCTCATATTAATTTTATATTTAATAATTTATCTGTTGTATGACTATTACTAAATAATATATTTTAAATGAATCATAGCAGAGTAAACTCAATTCAATTTATATGTTTACTACATACAAAGCCCCAAGGGTTGTCAAATGAAAAATATTAGTGAGGCTCAATCTATCTTCAAGGACCTCTTAGTCATGTGTGTGTATGTGTGTGTGTGTGTGTGTGTGTGTGTGTGTTTATGTGTTTATGTGCAAGCCTGTACATGTGTGTGACATTTAGGTGAATGGAGATAGTATTTGTCAACTATACACAGATATATATATCCATATATCTGTGTATAGTTGACTAATATTATATGGCCCTCCTATACCCACAGCTACCCTTACTATTCACCTCCCCCATCAGAATGGTGCTTTTGTTAGGATCAATGCACCTTTAGTGCTATATTTTTATCAACCAACATCCGAAGTTTACCTTAGTGATTATTCTTGGAATTATATATTCCATACAGACACATCTTGATGTGTACTCATCATTACAGTATGCAACCAAAGAGTACCACTGCTCTATAAATCATTTGTGCTCCACCTCCACATTATCCTCCCTCTCTAACCCATAGCAACTGCTCATCTTTCACTGTGTCTATAGTCTTTGTCCAAATGTCCTGTAATTGGAATCACATAGGATATAGCTTTTATAGATTGGCTTCTTTCTCGTAGTAATATGCACCTAAAGTTTATATCATTTCATGGCTTAATAGCTTGCTTCCTTTTACTGCTGAAGAATATTACATTGTCTAGATGTATCAGTTTATCCAGGCACTTACTGAAGGACACTAGTTGCTTCCAAGCTTGGCAATATGAATAAAGTGCCTGTGAATATCTGTATTCAAATTTTTGTGTGAAATATTTTTGAGTAATTTGGGTAAAAAAAAAAACTAGTTTGATTGCTGAATTTTTTGGTAAGACTGTGTTTAGTGCTATAAGAAATTGAGAAAATGTCTTCCCTTTTGGCTGTGYCATTTTGTATTCTAACCAGCAATGAATGAGAGTTCTGTGGCTCCACATCCTCACCAGAATTTGATGATATCAGTGATCTGGATTTGAGTCATTCTAAAAGGTGTTTATGGTATCTCATTTTTGTTYCACTTGCAATCCTCTAATGACATATGATGTTGGACATATTCATCTACTTATTTGCCWTCTATGTATCTTCTCTGAGAAGGAATCTTATTCCTATTTTTAATTGGGTTTTTTTCTTACTGTAAAATTACAAGTGTTTTTTTTTATATTTTATATAACAGTTGTTTATCACATATGTTGTTTGCAAGTATCTTTTCCAACTCTAGGTTGCCTTCTCATTCTTGTAAGAATATATTTCACAGAGCAGAACTTTTCAATTTTAATCATGTCCAGCTTGTCAATTATTTCTTTCATGATTGTACCTTTGGCATTGCCAATATACAGGAATAACATTCTTTTTTTATGTCAGAGGTACAGTCCAAAACTAGAATTGTCAAGATCTTTCTGCAGATGATTCTGATGTCAGCCATAGCTACTATTATCCTAGTCATTAACCCAGTGGCTGAGACTCCCCTTCTCTGAAAAGTGCTTTTGATTGGTTCTGCAAATTTTATGATTCTCTTTCCCCTACCCCACCCCTGATTTGGCTAGCCATGTGTCTTTGTAGTATGCTGACTTTAATTCTTTTAGATAAATAGTAACAAGTAGTGTAACTGAATCATATGGTGATTCTTATTCATAGTCTTTCRGGAACCTCCATCCTGATTTCCATGCTATCTCTACTAATGTACAATCCCACCAAAAGTTTATGGTTTCCTTCCCCCCTCATCCTCAAYAGCATTTATTATTATTTTCACTCTTAATGATTGTCATTCTAACTGGAGTAAGATAAAATATCATACTTTTGATTTGCACTTCCCTAATGGCAAAAGATGTTAAGCTTTAAAATATATATAATCGCTGCCTATTTGTATTTCTGTTAAGAWGTATCTGTTTAATTCATTTGTCTATTTATTGATTTTCTTGATTGCGGTTATTTGGGTTTTCTTTTCTTTTTTCTTTCTTTCTTATTTTTTATGTTAAGTATTTTAAGTTCTTTGTGTGTTCTGGATATTAATCCTCTGTCAGAACAGCGGCTGGCAAAGATTTTCTAAAATTCTGTAGATTCTCTCTTTATGCTGTTGTTTTGTTGCTACATAGAAGATTTTTAGTTTGATGCTCTCATTTATTCATGGTTGGTGTTATTTCCTGAGCTATTGGAGTCCTATAGAAGAAGTTGCTCCCTATGCTTACATGCTAAAATTTCCCCTACATTTTCTTGTAGGAGTTACAAAGTTTCTGGTCTTATTCTTAGGTTGCTGATCCCTTTTGAGTTGACTTTAGTGCAGAATGAGACATGTGGGTCTAGTTTCAATCTTTTACATATGAATATTCAGTTTTCACAGTACTATTTGTTCAAAGGTCTGTCTTTTCTCTAATGAAAACATTTGGTAACTCTGTTAAGAATCAGATGGCTATCTGTGTGAGTTTGCCTCTGTTTTCTGTTCTGTTCCATTGGTTCATGTGTCTATTTTTTGTACCAGTACTATGCTGCTTTGATTACAGTAGTTCTGTATTATAGTTTTAAGTCAGGTATGGTTATGCCTACAGCTTTACTCTATTTTCGTAGAATAGTTTTGTCTATTTTGAATCTTTTATTTTCCCATATGAAATTTAGAATTGTTTTTCTAGTTCTGGGGAAAACAGGCATTTTGATGTCTCTATTAAAACATTGCATTGAATCTGTATCACATTTGGAAATATGACTATTTTAACAATCTTAATTCTGCCTATCCAAAAACATGAGGAGTTCTTCCATCTTCTGGTGTATTCTTCAATTACTTTTTCAGTGTTCTTTAATTTTTATTAGTTAGGTTTTTCATTTTTTTATTTAGATYTATTACTAAGTATTTTATTTATATATTTTGAAGTTATGCTGAATAAAATTGTTTTCTATCTTTTTCAGTAGATTCATTGTTTAATAAATGAATTAAGTTAATGTGTAGAAAAGCTATTGATTTTAGTATGTTGATTTTATATCCTGCTCTTTGCTGAATTTGTTTATCAGCTCCAGAAGTACTGGTGGACTTTTAAGGATCTTCTAAGTGTAGGATCACATCATTTGCAAACCATGATAATTT